GGTCATAAATGTTGGATTAGTTTTTAGTTTTTTTGCAACTGAGTGCTTCACATTTCCCTTCAAATTAACCATTGTGTTTGACTTTTTTACGAATTTTTACACAAAAACGAACCTTTTTGTCAAGTTAACTACTTAATGTGTTCTTATTACAACTCTCTAAACCTCTCAAAAATTATTTAAAGCGGTTTATTTTACTTTCTTTTTTGACGTGAAATAATGCAAACATTGTTAAAAGAATGCATTTATAAGCAAAACATAGAAAATTTGAAACTAATCCATATTGGTTCATCCATACTGATAGATTTTTACACAAAAATTAGGCTCCTTGTACTGCTTAAGGTGCTATTATAATTAATAATTTAATTGTTAATAATTTCACACTAATTAGTTTAACAAATTTTCTTTTATTTTCTTTTTAGTAGGGTGAAATCAGAAACAAAATAGTTAAACACATTCACTAAATAAAATAGAAGTGAAAAGTAATCCCCAATCTTGAAACTAATCCAGATTTTGCAATCCCTAATCCCCAATCCAAATCATTTTTGTAAAGTAATCTAATCCGAAACTAATCCAATCCCCGAATCCGCGTCTAATTCTAATCCCCAATCTAATCCAAAAATTTTGGTGACCAATCCCCAGTCCGTAATCCAAGCAAAAAATGAACTAATCTCCCAGCTCTGTTGATTTCTCATAACCGTCAAATCGATTTGTAATTTAGTACAGCGGTTTCTAGTCGCACCTAATCGCAGAATATGAACTGGAATTGGGAAATTTTTGTGGAGGGACCCTTTGAAGTCACCCACACCTTGTAGAAATTGTCACCAATGATCTTATATATAGCTTTGCCCATAAGTCGAAGCACAAATTTGAGAGTGGTTAGGAATATCAAAACTTGATATCTTTCAACTGACACTTTTAAAATGTCTGCTATAAATTTGAACGAATTAATTTGGCTACGATATCCTCAAGACTAACGGTGTAAATGTTGCTTTATAGAGTACTATAGCGGTTATATTCTATATAACCTAAAAAGAATTAAATAAAATATAGCTTGAAAAAGTAAAAAATTCTAAGGTGAGGAAGTGCACTTAAAAGTATTAAACAAGCTCCCACACCTCCACCCAGATAATTTTACTTCGCCTGGGCTGCCTACTGCATGCGTTTATTAACATTATCTGTAAATGTTAATAAATGAAATCGTACATTACTATTATTCAACAAAAAATTAATTTGTTGGACTATTATTAAATTGTAAATTATTAATTATTAAATTGTAAATTATAAATTATTAAATTGTAACACAGACTGCTAAATCGGAATTTTAGTTGTTATTAAAAAATCGGTTGTAATTAAGGCGGAATAGCATGCTGGCTGATGCGGGGTTTTTTGTTTGAATTGTTGTGTCTCAACTTTCCCTTCCTCCATGTATTCAAATGGCGATTTTGAAAAATGTTCACCGCCTTTCGTTTTTAACAATATGAAGATATTAATGCACCTAAAAATCGGTAATTTTTAGGCTTACATAGTTAGGAGATAAAAATTTTGATTTTCTTCTTCAACAAGAAGATAAATATAAAATAAATGACAAATAATCAATAAAATTTAAATATTTCCTCATTGAAGAAAAAAATCAAAATTTTTATCTCCTAACTATGTAAGCCTAAAAATTACCGATTTTTAGGTGCATTAATATTTTCATATTGTTAAAAACGAAAGGCGGTGAACATTTTTCAAAATCGCCATTTGAATACATGGAGGAAGGGAAAGTTGAGACACAACAATTCAAACAAAAACCACGTGATACAATGCCACGTTAAGCCGCACAGAGTTACCCAAAAAATCTAAAAACAATGCTTGCTACTATATAGTACATAGTTACATACTAACATTCGGAACCTCTTTCAACGAGAACGACGACGAAGTAGTTACACAAAAAATTAATAAATACCTATTTAGGGACGGATAATCAATATGTAATAATTACTACCAAATGAACATAATTGGTAATACCCTAGCATCCAGGTACATGTTGTTGATTTGGAAATTAACCAATTCAAAAGTTACCTTTAGGTCAAGAAATTAATTCTAACGTTTATTTTCTTAAATGATGCCGAAGCATTATTGTCGATATTTTTTGCATTCAGTAGGCAGCCCAGGCGAAGTAAAATTATCTGGGTGGAGGTGTGGGAGTTGTTTAATACTTTTAAGTGCACTTCCTCACCTTAGAATTTTTTACTTTTTCAAGCTATATTTTATCATTAAGAAATTAACTATGAAAAGTTGTGCTTAAATTATTTACGACTACGTTTTTTTCTATGTACATACATTCGTGCTTAAAATTTTGTCGCGTAACAAGGAAAATTTTTATTTTTTGAGCAAATTATCGTTTATGTGAGGTCATGGATTTTCACCAATTTCCTCTTTGTAAAATTTGTCATGTCTTTTATGCCAACTAATTGTTAAATTTGGACCTTTTCCTTCGAAAATGCTGAAATTTCTCAATACAATGCAATGCTAAAATTCGGGATGTTTAGTTTTATCGAGTCCTATTAAAACCACAAAATTTCTCCTCCCACACGAATTTTCATACTTGCAACATCCGCGAATTATTGAATTTTCTTCAAGTTAAACATACTCCTTAAAGAGTTAATAAAGATCGACTCTTTCTAGCTACATATTTATGTATTTATTTATTTAATTAAAGTAAGAAATTATTATATTGGCATTAATCCATTCAGATATCTTCCTCTCGGTACAAGTTCGTGCTCCTCGAAATAACAGTTGGATATCTGGATGCACCCGAACCACGAGCCACGTGGAGGACACGTTCTTTCCCGTCTTTAAAGAAGTGTACACTTATCACTATAACATTGACGAGGTGAGCATTAAATATCAATATTTGCCGAGAAGGGATTAAATCCTTCACGTCAAGCTTGAACCACTAAGAAACAAATTGTTACCAATTCGGTAGTGAGTTAATACCAAATCTTTTAGCAATGTACACAATTTTGCAACAAGTAACTATGAATACATGCGTAATTCTAACAAACGTTGAGAGTTCCTAAACCTAGAGGGATTTAATTCAACATAGTTGGCCTGACACAATTTGAGCTAGCTACATTGCGACAGAATTTCACTGCGCCAACCCTAACTTTCAAAGAAATGAGTGGAAAGTTAGGATTGTTCAAACCCTGTAAATAGCATGCAATTAACGCGTCTCATAAATATCGATGGAACGTCTCATGATGTTTCCTAATGTGCAAAAGGGGAGGTAACAAACTCTCCAATATTGCGCAACGTATTTTTTGAATGTTCCCGAACATAATTATGTATGTATGTATGTAAGAAAAGTTTAAATCACACATATTTAGAAATTGCGAAGCTTTATTCTTATCATTGTTTCCCAACCTTTTTTTACTTGACTCTAGCGCCTGTTCTTCACCGTGTACGAAAAGGAACCTATCCTAATACCAGATAAGGTTGTTACCTTAACTAGTTTTAAGGACTTTGCATAAATTAAATCCCGGATTTTTTTATGGATAATCGAGAAAAAATTATGTATTTTGACCTTGTTTCCAAATCAGTCAATAATTTTATTTATGAAAGGTCCTTTGTATGCACTTTAAAAAATTTGGAAACAAATTGTCACCCGCGGAGGTCTATTCCATTGGGTGCTCTATTTTTGGGTAATGATAACGGCTACGTATTGTCACCATCCTGGAAATAAGTCAAAAACTCGTGTAGAAAACACATTACATCATAATTTTAAAAAATTGAACGTTTGTATCCAACCGTATGCATTTTTTTACATGAAAGTGTTGCATTTTTTAAATAACGACGTCACGGGCAATCGGTGCATGAATTTTTGACTTATTTTTCCTTGGTTACAAAACGTCTCTTTAATCATTATCCAAAAGATAGAGCACTATAGAGCACCTCGGTGGGTGACTGCAATCATTACATAAATTATCAATGATACTAATTTTTCAAAATATGTAAATAGAAACTTGGCACTGTATCAATGGAAATGGGCTGGTTGTATAACCGCAACCCTTTCGATATTCCAATTGAGGACGAGAAAGGTTACCACTTAGGAGGGGAGCTTGCGAGGTTGATAATAACAGATCTTGATGCCCTTTGGATATGTGATAGGGTCCCATGAGTGTACTAAAACCCTGAATTGGTTTGACTCCATGGCCACATTTACGCCCGCCACACCCACTCAAAAATGCCCAAAAAACGCTTTCACTCCAGTTTTCACTAACTCAAATCCACGCCAAAAATCCAATTTTACTCGGATTTTGAAATTTCTTTCACCAATATACTCCCAGATAGTTTCTTTCTTCAATCCAATATCAAACTCAATTTTTTCGAAATTTTTAGTATTTTTAAAATTTAAATTTCTGAATGAGCATTGTTGTAGCAATCAACAAGGCAAATTATGCCTGCGAAATAATAATCAGCAAAATTGAGTTTGATATTGGATTGAAGAAAGCAACTATCGGGGAGTATATTGGTGAAAGAAATTTCAAAATCCGAGTAAAATTGGATTTTTGGCGTGGATTTGAGTGAGTGAAAACTGGAGTGAAAGCGTTTTTTGGGCATTTTTGAGTGGGTGTGGCGGGCGCAAATGTGGCCATGGAGTCAAACCACTTCAGGGTTTTAGTACACTCATGGGACCCTACCACATATCCAAAGGGCATCAAGATCTGTTATTATCAACCTCGCAAGCTCCCCTCCTTAAGGAGAAGGCACAACATTTTATCCATACTGAACATCTTCTAGGTTGCAAATGATACCGGAATGGACGACACTCTCTGGACGAACAAGGGCAAAGAAACCATTCTTAGCGTGTCCTGCTAGTGATGAAGTGTAAAATTTGGATACAGTTTGAAAATCAACATGTTAGATAATAAATTTATGTATTTGAAATTATGTATAACTCATCCGCCGATATTCCATTACTGCGAGACATTTAAACCACCCTGTACATTGCAAAATACCGATATTACATTGTATTTATTTATTTATCAAATTTCACATCCAGTCATATTCAAATCAAATTTCAACTTCTAATCAAATCCCCTTCTCTTTCCTGCATTTTAAATATTATTCCCGTTAATTTCCGCCTCGTACAGCGCATACGAAGCCGAAACGGTCCAATAACTTTGTTCCTTTTTGCAATCTTCCACTTTGAGCAGGCTGTCCCCCACGGATCTCTTCCGTTCTTGAAGACACTGACCAGACACACTCTTAAAATAACAGCGAGACGTGTCAAAGTCACATTTTCTCGTCCAAAAATGCCCCGGTTGCCAAATCTCTTCACAATCCGTTATCAAAATTTGATCCGTATCCGGTTTTGTCTCCAGACAGAGTGGCGGATTTGTATTGAAAGCCTGGATTAAAATGGAATAGGAATTCGAGGCCCGGGTAAAAATCCAGCGCTGATTGTTGGACGCCGTTAAGGTTCCGCTGGATGTCGTGGTTGTGCACGGTTTTAAGGAAACGGAGGGCTCGAGATTTTGGACAACAGAATGAGTCAAACACTGGTTTGTCTCGTTATTGGAGATGGTGTAGAGACGAATGGATTGGGCTTGAGTGACGTGGAAGTTTAGCGACACGATGAAAAAAGCAAGTGCCACAAAATGGTGGAATGCAAGGACCAGCCTCATCTTTGAAATAGAATTCTGCAGAAAAAAATTAATAATTGAGACATCATGGATTCTTAGCAATGATGTGACCCTTTTGAAAAGATGGTACATAAATGCAGTCTCAATTAACTCTCTTGGATGACAAAGAGTAATGTTAACTCTGGGTTTAGTATGTATTAAGTACTTAGATAATTAAGAGTGCATTTATGTACTCCCCAGAAGGGTAACATCACTTTTCAGCGTGTACATAAATACACGTGCTATGCATTTTAGAAGCGTAGTGTTCCCTTCAAATTTAAATATATGTAAAAATATATATATATTTACTTACTTTTGGTATGACGGAAACAATTATGTTTGTTCCGAGAAGGACTGAACTTATGTGGAAGAATAGTTAATACACAATAAAAGTATACTTATTTATCCATTAGTGACTCGTTAACAGTTTGATGACCTGACCAATAATTATTTTGATGCAGTTATTTATTCTGCATAAGAAGGTACTGACGTCAAACCATTGTTATGCTGAGGTGCAAATGCTGCATCTATTTATGTACGTACATGCATACATACATAAATATACAGTTCATCTGTGAATTAAAATCTAATTGCGATTGTCACGATTCGGACCTGAACTGCTTTTTTATGAATGCAACCGTCTACATATTGTTATAAATTCAAAGGAATGTTCGGTTGCTGCGGGTGGCGAAAATGCGAGGGTATCTGGTCCCAAACGGTTTCCCGTGGCAACCCTACTTATACGAAAGGGAAAAAAGTCCCGGAAAGGGATCAATCGTGAGGTACTACTCGTGACTCCAATTTGTAATCCGACTCTCCTGACTTGATCTCTGGAAATTTTGGCATTCTCAAAAACTGCCTGTTCTCATTGCACCAGAAATTTTGTCCACGATTAGGAAATTGGTGGCGAAATTTAAACAAACATATAAATATATGTAAATCGGTAAAGTATTTGCCAATTTTCATAAATAGATTAGTGTCTCAAGATAAAACACAAACTTCTATCATAACACGTTTTTTCTAGAAAAAAAATTTACATTTCGGAAAACTTCGTATATATGTATTCCATCGATTCATACCGGTAAATTAGATAAGGCTTTATTAATAATTCAGCATTTATCAATTTCATCTACGGCATACTAAAGCTGGAAATTATACAGGTAAAAATTCATAAAAAACTAAGAATGTGCCAACATTACAGGATATAAGTTTGTAAATTCCGGTAAAGTCACGTGCCAATGATATAATTTCTTAGAGTGTGCACATATCCATGACGTTCGAAAATACAAATATAATCGTTCCAACTAAAAAAATAACTACTGCAAACGATTCGCTATTGCATTGATTTTCTCCGCCGAAGGATGGAAGGTCATTAACAAGTTGAGCGTCCAGTCCTGAATGGACATGCAGTACGTCGTGAAAACGGTGGCATCCAGCTTGTAAAAGTAGAATCCCGAAATACCCGCGTAAACCCGGAGCGGTCTCATCGACTTGAGCTTCTTTCGCATCCAGCCATTCGCCTTGCGACCCCCGGGTATCGAATGAGTCCATGTTTGAAGGATGTTCTTCGATTTCTCATACACGTCAATGGCAACCGGCAACAGGGACAGGATTATCATGATGAGCAGAGTCGCGAAGAAGGGAAATATGGCGTAGTACAGGGGCGGAATTCCAAAGTCGAGGAATCGGATTGTTGCAAAATTCAGCCCGGCACAGAAGAATAGACCGCTAGACATCAAGAAGAATGCCTGCGTCGCCATCTGTTTTTCTGGTTGTAACGCAAGTACGGCGAGATGGGTGTATAGGGTTATCCAGTTTGGGGTTAATGGGATATCCCCGTTCCTGTGAAGTAGGCTTGACTTATTAAATTTGTTAAGGTGTGAATTATCTTAATGTACTAAAAACTATGATTTAATTTCATCGAATCCTTTTAAAGTAATAGTTTATAACAATGTCAACGAATCGTTGCTACAGCATAATCAGTATGCTAATCAACATCGATTCGTAGGTTTAATAGCAATCGTATGATACGAAACAACAATCCACTATGGATCCCTAGAAAATTGTACAATTTTCTACGGATATCCTGACTATATGCGTTTGGGATATAATCAGTAAGGAGCACCGGCTAATATGTTTTTTACCACGACTTTAAGCTACAATTTTTGAGTATTAAATCCAAACCACAATATATGTAATGCAATCTAAATATATTAGGGACCGCTCATAAATTATGTAAAGCGGAGGGGGAGCGTGGGTCCAAACTGCAAGGATATCGTGACTATGTTACACATGTTAAGGTGGGGGAGAGACGGATTTAGAGATGTGATTTTTGCGTGACATAACATGGATATCCTAAAGTATTTTTGATCCATTTCAAACCTGACTTGTTGCGCGTATTCTGCAAATATCCGAATGTAGGTGATCACCAGTTTGCCAGATAGTGCATAAAAATACACCAGGAACGGGAATATCCGTTGGCCCTCCATATACGCGATGAACGTTAGCGATAGTCTTAGAAAGGTGTGCACCGAAAGTGTGATTAGGTTCGAGCTGTAGTCGATGTTCAAATTTGACCACATGTCTTCCAGCGGGAATCGGTACACATCAACCCTGAAGATGAACACGGCAGATAGTACCGTAATTAGCGACACGATGGGTAGCGCGGTCAGTGCCACGAATAGGATGAGCCCTGCGCCAATTAAATAAATATCGATTGATTACGAATTAAGATTCCTGGTTCAGATTTTCACACAAGACTAAACTAATCATTAGCGTTAACGTGAGCATTTAATGTAACACCTTTAATTCGCAATTTCCCTATTTTCAGCTACCGTATCACCAAAATTATGTACTACTGTACCTGCCCAATCCACGTCACCACCCGCTAAGAAGATACTTGGAATTCTTGCTTTTCGAAATGCCCGGTCAATCGAACCCAGCCACTCGTTCCATCTGCCATTCACAGCTGGAACCTTTTCCCCTAGAAAACCCGTTATAAAAAATTTCAAATATTTACCAATCCCGTCATTTTAGTTTTTTACCCATGGTCTCATAGACTTTCATAATTTCATGAAAATCCAGTATTCCATCCACAATTTGAACCGCATGCTGCCTGTATGCCATCACCACCATGGCAATGCCTGCTGCCAACCCGCCCGTCGGAATTAGCAGAGCGTACTGAATGCTATGGGAAATATTCAGTTCCTTCCTGGGCGAGTAGTATTGCCAATAAATCGTGTAGAATGCTGATGCCCCGCTTACACCGTAGAAGAGTCCATAGACGCAGAAATACCACCAGAAATATTTTATGTGAGGTGCCTTGTCGTACGTCATCCGATCAGTTTTCCCATCCCAACCAATCGGGGTTTTCCATAGGAAGCTGTTATACCGGAAAGAGTGGTCAATCGCATAGAAAATTAGAGGGGTTGGCATACTTTTTATTTATTCTCGAAAATTTTGTTAAATCTAGAGGTGAAAATATTTCTAATAGATGTGTAGCCCTTCCAGGCTGACGTTGATGTTTGATTTACAGCACAACTATGATCTGTACTACTTTTGAAAAACAAAACTCCACGCGTGGCAGTTAATCCTTAACTATCTAAGTAATCGCATTATTCAGACCTTTATGACTATTTTCCTTATTATAAATACCACTCCTTTTTAATGTACTTTGGGAAATATTTATGTACCGAATTTCTCTATGTGCATGCATAACCTAAGTTATTTGAGCTAGTTAAGTTGGTCGGAAGCTAATTTTCCTTGCGGATGTATGTACGAATCAGGGCTTACTTATTGAGCCGGGTTTGTTTTTTTCATAAATTAAGATTAAGCCAACTGTCTTTGAAAAATGTTTAGATTTGGCTTGTATAGTAAATATGCTGGCTTATTATTTATGCAGCACAACATATATAAATCTAAAAACCTTTTGAAAGACTACTCATTTTTAACGTATAAAATGCGTAAATAAGCACTTAACTTTAATTCTTAAAAAAAAGCATACGTACATAGGTAAATATGACAATATGACTAACTTGCATGTACGTTCACAAATTAACATATTTACCCGAGCTAATTGAGAAAATTCTGAGTATTCGGAAATTACAAATTAAGTGAACGAATTACTCAGAATAAAAGTGATAGTTTTTCCATAATTTAGATAAAAACTTCTTTATATCGTTTGTGTCTAGCTCATAACTCTGTTTGCGTTGATACGTTGATACATGCATAGATTACATATGTATGTATAATTTGGACTTACTTATTTATCTATTATAGATATGTATGCCCAAATTATTGTCCAAACATATAAGTACATGTATAAATACCTAACTCATAGATATGTACATACAGTCAATGAAACAAGTATTGGCAACACTCACACAAGCTAAATAAAAGTGGCTATAAGTTTGGCATGCATCATCAAATTAGCATGAAAATTTGTACGCATTTAGCAAATCTAATGTAGTGTTCGACTATAATCATGTTTCTGATTTAAATCTAGTAAACATAACACAATCCTGATTTTGACCCCAACGAGTCAGATGCAAACCTGCAAAAAGTATTGGCAACATGTGGCCAAATTAATTACTCGAAACAATTTTCTTAACCATCTTCCACATTTCGTTACGGTAAGTTAATTAGGTGACAAAATATGAGGTTAGCTACATTTTAAGTCTACAGTTGTGTTGTCTGGAGCCAAAATGGCGACACCAAACGAGCTGTATTTGGCGCGGCGAGAAATAATGATGTCTCTTTCACAAAAAAGCTTTACTATCGAAAAATCAAAGAGAAAACATACTTTTCCATATTTACTATTGAATACGTAGCAAAGAAATATAAAATGACAATCTCAGTTCCTACTTTTCCATGATGCGTAAGAAAAAAGTCATCTACGCCCAAAACCTAAGGATGACTCAAGCAACGAACCACTCGAGAGCGGAAGGTTTCAGCTTCCAAATCCATGTTAAATTGGAGTATCAACTGTAGGGTCAACATATCATACAATATGGTGATCAATCAAAAATTATGCCTTGGGGTTTCAGGCTCCAGAAGCCCGACCGACGCGAGAGTACCCAAAGCGAACCACCTCAATAAATCGAAATGGGCTAAATATGACCCTAAATAGAGTTCCGATCAATGAAAAAGGGCCTACTGGTCCGACATAGGCATATTTTACTTATTCGGAGCTCATTAATTGGTTCAAGTCTGGCGGATGCAAATAAAGGCTCAGAAATACTAAAACGTTCGTATGGCAGTTTAACACATAGGAGGATCGATTATGGTTTGGGGTTAAATGACTAGGTGGCGGCGTGTTTACCTGGTCATTATCGATAAAATTATGACCAAGAAGGTGTTGTCAATCATTC